GGCTCAAACTCAAACCCTGAGATCAGTTGAAAGCTCCACTGACCAAGCCAACCAGATGCCCTGACTTAGTTATTTCCAAAGACCAAAGAAGGTCTTCATTCACATTAACATTCATGTTTATGAATGTCCATTTATTTTTGAGAGCGAGAAAGAGAGAGAGTGCGTGAGCAGGGAAGGGCTCCGAGCTGACAGCAGAGAGCAGATAGCCAAATGCCGGGCTGTAACTCACCAACCATGAAATCATGACCTGAGCTGAAATCGGACGCTTAACCGACTGAGCCACCCAAGTGCCCCACAAACTTTCAGTAAGCACCCAGTCAGAATATTTCTGGAAGGATACAAAAGCAATTGGAAACAGTGACTGCTTCTGGAGAAAACTGAGTAACCAAGAATCAAGGGGACAAGGAAATTTACTTTGCATCATATGCCTTTTGTATCTTTTTATGGTTCACCATATGTAAGAATTACTTCTTAAAAAAAAACAAAAAAACAAAACTAATAGACACACACCAGATGGGCACAGCCCAGTCTGTAGTATCAGCAGAGTATGGTGGACTCTTGGTCAGTAGAATTCTGTCTGGTTCCCAGAATTTTGAATTACTTGCCAGCCCTACTCACGTTGAGAGCTCTGTAGTGGAAGATGCCAGAGTGCAATATGAAAGCAGACATTTAGAAGCAGTTATCCAAAGTTTAATAAAAGTTTGGAGGCTTCCAGTGGGGCACCCGGGTGGCCCAACTGGTTAAGCATCCGAATTCGGCTCAGGTCATCATCTCACAGTTCGTGAGTTTTCTCTGCCCTTTCCCTGCTTGCGTTCTGTCTTTCTCTCAAAATAAGTAAAACATTTAAAAGCAAAAAAAGTTTGGAGGCTTGCAGGAGACTCACTCAAGTGAATGGACATCTGCAAATTTGATGAAAAGGTCAGTAGGAAACTGCTTAATTCAAAGTCATTCCAGGAAACATGCTAAAATCCTCAGGCCTGAACCTTGATAGGGGACGCCCACCTATGTGGCATTCTTCAGTCCCCATTTCCTGCAGCAGCCGAAACAAATACAACTTCCCTTACATCCTCCCCTTCATTCAAGACCCAGCATCTGGGGCACTTGGCTGGCTCAGTTAGTAGAGCATGGAACTCTCAATTTCAGGATTGTTAAGTTTGAGCCCCACGTTGGTCACAGAGATTACTTAAAAAGAAAAAAGAAAAACCCAGCATTTATAAGAATTCCCCTGAGAAACTTTTCCCCCAGCTCCTGCAAACAAACCACTGCCAATCTCCTATAAAAAAGGGAAAGTTTGCTAAACTCTCTGTTTTACATGTGGTATCTCAGGCATTGAGTCTGACAACTCTTTATTTCCATCTTATAAATGACAACACTGAGGCCCAGAGGTTAAGCAGTTTGCCCAAGGTGACACAGCTGGGAACTGACAGAGCTGGGATTAGGACTCACATGTGATGCGGAGCTCCTGTTCTGGACCCTGCATTATTACTCACATGGCTCAGTATAAGCATTCTGGTATGATTTGGTTGCCTGTCGGGGCTGGTGGTGGGAATCACAGCTCTCAAAGCTCTGGTCTAACATTTGTAGTGAACAGGTTGCTGAAAACAAGTCAGCGAAGGCTAACTCATAGGAAACATCATAATTTATTGATGAGAATTACGGCTGGAGCCTTGGGCCCAGCCCAGGTATCAGAATATGTCACCCTTACCATAATCTGGTATGGAATCTGACTTTTATGCAATCTTTGGGGTATTAAGTCATGTGTTGTTTGAGAATAAAGACAAAATTCAAATTAGAAAAAAAACTATAGATTTTACTGTTTGCCCTACTCACTTACTAGTAATGATAACATAGCTGCCATGTATGGGGCACCTACTCCATTTTATGTTCTGTGTGTATATGTATACTTTACATACATCCTAATCCACAATTCCCCGGAGTTTAACAAGAGCCACCTCAGAAATACACATGCACACAAGACCCGAAGAGGTCTCTCTCCATTCTTACTGCATCACGGAATCTCCAAACAAGGGGTGGAAACTAATGTTAGCAAGCAGCCAAGTGACTCCTGAGGTCAGAAGAGTCTGGTGGACCACTTTAGTGTTCACGTTTCACAAAGCATTTTCACAAAGAGAAACATTTTTAGCTTCTCACCTAGACAGCGAAACAAGCTCACAAAAATGACTGCCCAAAAACCTGAGCAGGATTTGAATCCAAATCCCTCTGGCTTCAGAGCCAAGACAAGTACCATTCTGCCTACTCTGAAGTCAATGCCTGAGTCAGAAAATGCATACTCAATTTTGTAGTTTGTGATTCCGATTCCATGGACTTCTTTTGCAAAACGTCATTACCTCGTTCAGTACAAAGCAAATCTTAGGTTGGAAATACAAGTAAACATCAATTACAGTACTAGCATTTGTACAGTTTTCAGAGTCCTCAGAAAGAACCTATGTGATCCTGCCATTTCCCATGAGGCGGGACGGCAGCACAGGTTAGTAACCACGGGCTTTCCTACTGAGAAAATGGAAGCGCAGAGCTAAGTAACTTGTTCAAAGGCTTAGGAGCTGTCCTGTGGCAGAAATGGTTGACAATGCTCTTCCCACTAAGCAGCACTACTGCTACAAATGTATGGTTTCTTCTCCCCCGTACACACGTCTAGTCTCTTGGCTGACTCCGGGAAAGGGCAGACAGGGTGAAAGAATGGACACCAGGGATGGGGGGCTGAAGCGGGATGGGAATGGTCTTTGATGCCAGGGAGGTATGGGTTAAATACTAACTCCATCTTTATATTCTCTGGGATCTGGACAATTAATCTAAGGTCATCTTTCTTCATCGTTCGAAATGGGGAATAGCAGACTCAATCAACATTTACTAAGAAATTCCAATGTGCCTAGCCATGTGTCACTAGAGGCATTTTCTTTTTATGCATTTTTATCATTTGTGCATTTTAATCAATAATTTTTCACAGAAGCAAGGGAGGATTTTAGAGACGGATCTGGGGCTAAATCTTGAAGGGTAACTAGAAGTTATGTAAGGAGAAAGAGTTAGCGGTCCCCAGAAAAAGAGAGAGGTCATTTTAGGGGTGCCTGTCAGTTCAGTGTCCAACTCTTGATTTCAGCTCAGGTCATGATCTCATGGTTCGTGAGTTCAAGCCTGTGTTGGGCTGTGTGCTGTCAGCACAGAGCCTGCTTGGGATTCTCTGCCTTTCTCTGCCCTCCCTTGCTTTCACTCTCCCAAAATAAATAAACCTAAAAAAAAAAAAAAGTTCTATTAGGCCCCAGCTATTTTCTATGATATATGCTTAACCAGCTTTTTTTTTTTTTTTAGTGTTTATTTATTTTTGAGAGAGAAAGCCTGAGCAGGGGAGGGGCAGAGAGAGAAAGGGACAGATGATCCAAAGCAGGCTCTGTGCTGACAGCAGAGCCGGATGCGAGGCTTGAACTCACAAACCATGAGATCGTGACCTGAGCCGAAGTTGGACGCTTATCCCACTGCACTGCCCAGGCGGCGCCCCCCCTAGCTCTTCTTGTTCTAGCACACTTCTTGCAGAACTTCCAAGGTGTCACAATTACAAAGAAACACAAAAAACTCAACAGCCAAGGACTCTAAGGGAAGAAAGAGAATGCCAAAACTAACACTGAACTAGGCCAGGAGGTAGCCTAACCATATGAGAGAGAACAAATCAGTGACACAACTCCCTGGGCCATTTCAAAGGTAAGCAAGGCCCTTCATTCCTTCCCCAAGATAAGGAGCCTAAGCCCCAAACCAGTTTATACTGGTTCTTGGGCAGGCCCAGAGCTTTCCCCAGGTCCAACAGTTACCTCTGCCTCATTAGAATGTTAAAGTCTCCACCAGGGCAGAAATGATCTTCATGAACACAGCATACCATGCACAAACCGGCAGGCTCCCTTAAGACAAGCGAGCAACCTCGTGCCCACCCGTACCGGTGATGAGGACTGAAGCTCCCCTTTCCGAATACCCATCCTAGCCCTAAATAAAAGAAACCCACCCACCCCTACTCAGGGAGTCACAGATTTCAAAGTCATTCCCTGTGATTCCCTTATTTGCTGCAAATAAAGTTTCTGTTGTGCAGCAGGTCCACCTTGGGACGCCTGGGTGGCTCAGTCGGTTCAGCGTCCAACTCTTGATTTCGGCTCAGGTCGTGGTCCCAGGTCTGTGGGGTCAAGCTCTGCGCTGGGCTCTGCGCTGAGCATGGAGCCTGCTTAAGATTGTCAATTTCTCTCTCTCAAAAACAAAATAAGAGAACAAAAACAAAAACAACACAGAAAACAAAAACGAAACAAAAAAACCACAACTCCACCTGGTGCAGTCTCTATCTGTAACTCCCCAGGGAGTGAACTCACATTAGTTTGGCTGCAGTTAGACCTGGAGTGTAAAACCCAAGATGCCGGTGGGGGCAGGAAGATTGGGTACGCGAGTGGAGCAGGCTGTGTACAGCAGCCAGCCCCAGGCTCCACACAGATGAGGCTATGCCGGATCAGGGCCCTGTGCAACCAGACAAAGCAAGATCCGCATTTCTCTGTGCAACCTCTCAAGTTTCAAGTGTTGGAAACTGACTTCTAAGAAATCATGAAAACAACAGAAGGACGAACATAATCTGTGGGCCACATCTTGCCTACAGGCTGTCGTCAGTTTCCTGAGTTAGCCCCAGGGGAGAGGAAGGACATTGCAGTCAGTCAGAAATACACTTGCAAAGTCAAGAGCTTGCTAGGGGACCTTGCCTGGTCAGGGAGCTATATGACGTTTGGTTTGGTTGGAGCATGAGGGAGAGGAAGCTGGCCGGACAGCAATCCAGCAATCCGTCAAGACCTGAGACACAGGCGTGCAAAGCAGCGCCAGCCACTGGGTGAGGCCCTGTACGTGCTGATTCACGTGACATGACGACCAAGCTGAGTGGGATACACCCCAGAATTAGGAACAAGAGCCCTGCCCCGTCTATGCCGTCAGCGCAAGGGCCCAGGGAAGCAGAGCCGTTTCACCAATGCTATTCTGCTGCTCCGTATGTTATACACACATGAAAAAATGGCATCAAGGAAGTGACAGTAGGATGGATCTTATCTACAAAACAATGCAAATTCCCTTCAGAATTAGGAAACATTTTTAACCATTATTCATAAAGTTCTTAATCAAAACAGCAAAAGCGGATTTACAGAGCTACATTATCAAACACAAGACAGGACGGAAGTATCTGACAGACATCTTGAAACATGCCAAAGGAATACACACCAGGCTAAACATCTACCGTTAAAACACGGTTGCACAACAGGTTACAGTCACTCCTGCATTTTCTCAATAAGTTCTTCCTTATATTTGCCTTTCTCTTTTCCAACTTGTCGAGATTTGGCTTTGCGTTCAAGAATTTTCTTCCGATCTTTGTCCAGTTTTAGCCTGGTGATAACCACCTGTTAGGAGTGAGAAAGTAGATCTTTATTTATTTTTTTAAGTGGAAAGGACTTATAACCATATCATTATTTTGTACAGCAGATCTTTTCCCACCAGTAGTAGTTTGGATGCCTTCTGTTACCCAAATTCCAAGGACCTAGGAGACCAATTAGTTCGGTGATAACAATTACCATTTGGGCTGGGAAAAATGATACCACCAACATATTTCTGGTTTGTCTATAATCCCTTGGCCGGCAAAATGCACTGTTTAAAAAACATCAGCATTTCCATCAGCTAAGTGGGCAACAGCGATCATAAGGATAAGTAAGACCCCAACCATCCTGCCCTTATCTGAAACTCTGGAGGAGGAAGACCCTAGAATATAGTGCATGGAATGGAGTGCAAATGAGGAACAGCACATTCCCCAGGAAGAGATGCTCTCTCTCCTCCCTCTGGACCCTATCTAGTAGGAAAGGGAGGTCTGGAACCCTCCTGCAACTGGCTTGAAGGCAGAACCTTCACCAAGGATGACAAAATGGACAAGAGGAGAATCAGGATCCTTCTGACATCACCAAGCCAGTGACTCAGTCAGGCCTGCTCCCAGTCCCTCTAGAAGTCCTTGCCTGGGTCACCTGAGCAGATGCTGGCAACACACTGAAAACTTACGGCAGCGCCCCGCTCCACAGCTGCCGCCCGCCCGGTCCCACCATACCTTGCTGGGGTGAATGCCCACGTGAACAGTGGTACCATTGGCCTTCTCCCGCTGCACCCGCTCGATGTAGATGACATACTTTTTTCTGTACACCTGGACCACCTTGCCTATTTGCTGACCTTTGTAGTGTCCTCGAACCACCTAAAACACAGACAAGAAACTGCAACGAAACTAATTATCAGGAACACACAGACTAACATACAACGTTTTGTAACAAAGCAAATTAACCCTGGCAGTCAAGAGTCAGCTTTTTTTTGGGTATATTCCTGCTCTGTAGTGTTCTAAGTCAAGCGAAAATTCTTCGTTTGATTTTTTTTATTTGAAAACAAAAAAAAATTCCTTGAACTAGGATGGGTATCACAGAACTAGTTCTGAGAGTAACAAGGTATAATCACTACACACTCAAAACTACACAATCTTATATATCAGTTAAATAAAACTATGTATCTCAGTTAAATAAAAATAAATAAAATTTAAGAAAGAAAAAACAGAATCACTCTCAAGATCTAAATGGAGAAGAATGGTTAAAGATGTTATCCTGAGATTCTCACACAACCATTTAAAACCCATGCTCTTTTTTTCCCAATGTTCTATTTATTTTTGAGAGAGAGTGTGTGTGTATACGAGCAAGGGTGGGGGAGGGGGGTCACGCTAGGCAGAGACAAAGGATCCAAAGCAGGCTGTATGCTGACAGCACAGGGCCGGATGTGGGCTCAAACTCATGAACTGTGAGATCATGACTTGAGCTGAAGTCACATGCTTAACTGACTGAGCCATCAGGAGCCCCTAAAACCCATGTTTTCAAAGAATAATTTATGACCTAGGAAAATGCTCAAGATATGATCGTTTGAAAAAAAACAAAGCTTTATATGAAATACAGTCTGAATCTTGTGTTTCATATATATGGCATATGACGGAATGGAATATATTCAAATGTCAATAACTGTTGCCATTAGGCAGGACATAGGATTACAGAGATCTTTTCTTTTCTCTATTCCATTCAAGTGAGAGTGAGTGAGAGAGAGAGAGAGAGAGAGAGAGAGAGAGAGAGAGAGACAGTCCTAAGCAGGCTCCATGCTCAGAAGGGCTTGATCCCATGACACTGGTATCATGACCGGAGATAAAATCACTCAACTGACTGAGCCACCCAGACACCCCAATTACAGATGGCTTTTTAAAAAATGCATATTCAGGGTGCCTGGGTGGCTCAGTAGGTTAAGTGTCCGACTTTTGGCTCAGGTCATGATCTCACAGCTCGTGGGTTCGAGCCCCACGTCGGGCTCTGTGCTGACAGCTCAGAGCCTGGAGCCTCCTTCCAATTCTGTGTCTCTCTCTCTGCCCTTCTCCTACTTGAGATCTCTCTCTCAAAAATAAATAAACGTAAAAAAATTTTTTTAAAAATGTATATTCTTCCAGGGGTGCCTCAGTGGCTCAGGAAGTTAACTGTCTGACTCTTAATTTTGGCTAGCGTGATGAGCTCACAATTCATGGGACTGAGCTTCACATCAGGCTCTACTCTGATGGTATAGAGCCTGCTTGGGATTCTCTCTCCCTCTCTCTCTCTGCCCTTCCCTTGCTTGTCTGCATGGGAGTTCTCTCTCAAAATAAACATTTAAAAAAGAAAAAATTTACATTCTTTCAAATTTCAAGATTTCTATAATTAACACAAATATTTTATAGTCACAAAAAACTAAAATGTTAAAATCTCTTGGGCTATTTCTATGTACTAAAAATCTACTACTTGGGATGCCTGGGTGGCTCAGTCAGTTAAGTGTTCGACTTCAGGTCAGGTCAGGTCATGATCTTGTGACTCACAAGTTTGAGCCCTGCGTTGGGCTCTGTGCTGAGCCTGGAAACTGTTTCGGATTCTGTGTCTCCCTCTCTCTCTCTGCCCCTCCCCCACTCATACTCTGTCTCTCTCTCTCTCTCTCTCAAATATAAAACATTAAAAAAATATATATACTACTTCCACTCCAATGCAATTCAAAACTAATAAGATTATGGTTTCCCTGAAGGCACAAGCCTATTAAACACGATATAGTTGATGCTGGTAATAAACATAGAGAAAATACCACATATAAATAAACTACAGAATCTCAATACTCCTAAAATGTCTATTTAGCTTGTTCAACCTACTTATCAAGGTGATTTTCAGGCTGAAGATCATGTCTCACTGTAACTCCACCATACCCTCTATGACCAGAGACTCTTACATGGTAAAGTCTACGAAATAGCCTCTCTTAACTATCATCAAGACTCAAAGAAGATGTTAACAAAACACCCGGCTAAAGGAAACTGGACAAACACTAGATGCAGTGAGGAGAGGGGAGGATAAGACTAAACTAACTGGCCTGGAAAGGGAAGAGAGAAGAGGCAAGGATGGTATCCAGAATCTGGCTGGGCAACTTGATGGATAGATATGCCTTTCCCAGGTGCATGGAACATGGGGGAAGAAATGTATTTCAGGAGAAAAAAATTTAGTTTGGGAACATGTTGAATTTGAGGCATCTCATGATACTCTAGTAGAGAATTCCATACATAGCTGGAAGACCAAGTGGGTCAGCAATAAAGGCCTGGGAGTCATGCAGAGACGGCGATTTGGAGCCTGATGTGGCTCAGGGTGCTGGTGGTATGAGGGCAGAATGCAGAAATCCGAGGAAAAGCCAACATTTTGGAAGAGCTTATAAGGGAGCTTGGAAGTGGCCAGAGAATGGGAAACCAGGGAAGTGTGGGGTTACAGTAGCCAAAAAAAAGTCAAATGCCATGGAATGGTCAACTGCAGGAAGGATAAAGGGACAGTGTGACAACAAGCTGGCCACTGGTGATCACGGCTGCAGTGCTTTCAGTGGAGCAGAGAGACTGAAGGCGTTTACAGTAAGACATCATTGTCCCATCATCTTCCCACGCAGGTGAAGGAGAAGGTGGGCAACAGTCCCAAGGAACCTGGCTGTGAAGAGGATGACAGAGAATATATACTAAAGGGAGATGTGAAGGTAAGTGATAAATTTTTTATGTTTAAAAAGAGAAAAACATGAATGTGTCGAAATGCTTTTGAGAAGGAACAGGTATGGAGGAAAAGTTAAAGGTAACTATACAGAAAGGGGACAATGGATAGGAGAATCTCAAGGGAAGAGAACGGAAGACCAGTGTACACAGTGCATCAGCTCCAGACAGAAACAGGAACATTTCTTTCTTTCTTTTTTTTTTAATTTTATTTTTTTTATTTCTGAGCGAGCGAGAGAGACAGCGTGAGCAGGGGAGGGTCAGAGACAGGGAGACACAGAATGTGAAGCAGGCTCCAGGCTCTGAGCTAGCTTTCAGCACAGAGCCTGACGCGGGGCTCAAACCCATGAACCATGAGATCATGACCTGAGCTGAAGTCGGACGCTCAACTGACTGAGCCACCCAGGCGCCCCAGGAACATTTCTTTCAATACAACACGAGAGCGCAAAGGTGGCAAGGGTGGAAGCGGAGGTGAGCCAGAGGGTATGGAGCCAGGAGCTCTGAAAGGCTGACAGCTGTACTTTCCTCTGTGAAGCAGGACAGATGGTCCTGAGCAGACAAAAAAGCATGTGAAATTCGGAAGATCCCAAAGGAGAAGAGGCAGTTTCAACAAACCCACTTGGGACTGCTCTACTCTTCCAGTGGACTCAGACCTGGATTCCTGGCCTACACACTGACTTGCCTTATCTATCATTGAGCCGGACTTTCAGGTTCCTCCTCTCTACAGTGAAACAAATTCTACCTCACAGACTCTGAAAAACTGGCCACATCTTCTCCCCTGCCCTCCTTTTCTTTCTTTCACATCTTAATTCCATCCACTCAATAATTTTTTCATTCATCCAACAAATAGTGGCTGTGCCCCCGTGGGTGCCAGGCTCTGCACTGAGGTCAGGCAACAAAAAAAGGAAGTTCTTTGGCCTCATCTAAATGTAATGGTGAGTAAGCAGTTAACTAATAAATATGCAAATATATGATCACTAACTGGAACAGGCCATCGGGGAAGTTACTAGGATCATTAACTAAGGTGACAGCTACATGGCTTTATGTGTGCTCAAGCTCGCCTGTGCATTTTACTGCATGTAAATTCGCTTCAGTCCTATTTTTCTTTCATTTGCTGAAACATTGAATAATTCACTAACATTGCACAGAAGTACAGTAACCAGTGCTAAGAGGAATGTTGGAATGATTGAATAGGCACAAAAAATCAGGACTACAGAAAGTTCCAGACTTCAGAAGGGGGTCTGTTGGGGGGAGAGACCTCACACGTTTTGAAAGAGGTATTCATTTGGTTGCAAATGGACATGGGGAGCTCTCAGACAGACATTGTGAAGGGTGACCTTCAGAAGATCTGGAAAACTGCCCTGTTGGCCAGATATGCCAGTTACTTGTGGTAGCAAGTGTTTTTGTGCAGATAATGAGTTCTGAAAAACCAGTCCAAAAAATAAGAGGACCGTCAAGAAGGAGCAGGGATATCCACCGAACTGAACACGCAGATTTGGAGATGCATGTGTCAAAGTGAACACCACAACTCCAGGGGGGTCCGGGGGCATGTGCTGCAGAGAGAGAAGAACTGGGCAAGGGTAAATGTTTACAGGCGAGAGGGGAGGGGGCTTTGCAGGGAAGAGAGAACTGGCCAAACCCTCATGAGGAGAACACGGCTGTGGCCCTGAAGCCAGGAAGGACAGTATTCTGATGGGTGTCTCCTTGGCTATCAGTCACAGCTCCTCTGAGCTTAACCTGAACTTGCCTTGAGTCCTCAAGAGTTATCAAAGGCAGAAAAGATGGGTTCCTCCCATGAGTCCGGCTTTGAATCAGTGTCTTCAGGGAGAGAATAGGTTTCAAAATTCTGACCTTGAGAGTTAGGGCCAGAGACTGCCCTCTCCAACCCTGCTGGCATGTGGCCGGCAGTTCACATCCATCTCAGGAGGCAGCCCAGGCTTCAGTCATTTCATTCCGGCTCCATGAGCAGAGTGGTACAGCAAAAGGTCCAGCCTGGCTGAAGGCGGAAAGGATCCCCGCTGTGACGGCGTGACTCGGCCGCCTCTTCTAGAACCACACCTGGACCCTGGGCTCAGGGACGAGTGCACGCAGGCATTGGCACAGGCGGCTGTGGAGGAATGAGGTCCCGAGGAAGATGAGCGCCAGCTGCTCCAGGCTGAAGGACGCGTGCTCGCAGCCCTGGAATGGGATGCCGACGGGGCAGCCATGCCTTTGGGGGCTGCAGATGGGCCTGGCATGCCTCAGTTTAAAGAGAAATAAAATCAAATTTTGTTCACTGCTATGAAAGAAATGTAAATAAAGGATGTTATGATAGAATATTGATTAAAGTATCTGGAAAGGCTTTTCTGAGGAACTCACATTTAAGATACTATTGAAAAATGAGGGGTTAGTCAGGTAAAGGGGAGAAGGAAGAACATTCCAGGCAGAGGGAATATTCCAGGCAAAGACAATGAGGGAGGAAAGACCAAGATGCACTTAAGGACGTAAAAGGCCAGTGTGTTTGAAGTACAGGGCAGGTGGGCATAATAGGGTAAGATGAGGTCGGAGAAAACCAGGACTGGCCTTGTCAATGATTTTAGGTTTATAGTAAGCAAGCAAGCAAGCACCACTGATAGGGTTTAAGTAAAACCTGATTTGCAAAAAGTACCACTCTGTGAAGAATGCCTGACCAGGGTTAAGAGCAGAAGCTGGAGAGATCTTGATCTGAAATGGAAAAGAAGGGGTCAGATTCAAGACATATTACAGAGACAGAATCAGTAAGATTAAATAACAGATTAGAAACGGGTTAGGAAGAGAGAGATGTTAGAATTTAAAGGTTTATGGCATAGGCAAGTGAAAAAAAGAAGCATTGTTTACTGAAGTGTGAAAGATGGAAGAATCAGATTATAAAGGCAGTAGCAGTTTTTTGATCAAGAGTACTCGCAAGTTAGAAGCTTGAGACTATGAGCTTTTTAAAATGTTTATTTTTGAGAGAGCGCACACAGGCATGCGGGGTGTGTGTTGTGTGTGTGTATGTGCAGCAACAGAGGAGGAGAGGATCCAAAGTGGGCTCTGCACTGACAGCAGAGAGCCCCATGCAGGGCTTGAACTCATGAACTGTGAGGTTGGATACTAACCGACTGAGCCACCCAGGCGCCCCTGGGATGACTATGAGATTTTTAAATAAAGATGCTCAGCAGATAGTCAGATCTACAGGACTAAGCTCAGGAAAGTGGTTGGCCTGGGATATAAAAGAGGGCATTGTTAGCACAGGACAGACATTTAAAGCTCTCAGAGCAGGTATGATCACCTACGTAGATGAGGTGTCAGACCAGGTGCAAGCCCTGACTAACTCCAGCATTTAGAGATCAGAGGAAAAACAGCCAGCAAGGGAGTCTGAGAAGTCAGAAGTAAACTGAGCCCGAATGGTTGCAGAAGCCAAAAAGACAGACTATTTCGAGAAGTGAGGCAGTGCTACCTATGCGAAATGCTGCTGACAAAGTTAAGGATGCTGAGGCCAAGAAGCGTCCACTGGATTGAGTCATAAACACATTACTGACCTCAGCCAAAGCAGTTTCTATATAGTAGTGACAAAGAGATCAGATGCGAGAGGCTCTACGCGTAAACACGAGGTGAGGAAGCATAGGCAACTCTTTTGAGGAGGCTGGCCATACATGTGGAACAGAGAGTAGAAACTGGAAGGAAATGTGGGGCTGGGAGAGAACCTAAATTTTCCAGTTCTCTTGCAAAATCAAGACTGACAGCAAGGAGCCTGCATTCCCTGTGGCAGCAATGGGCTGAAGGGACACCACTATCTCCTTCAAATGAATCATGAGCTTTCTAGTTATCATCTTCTTGCCATCACCCAAGTTCTATTTTGAAATCTGCCTGTCCAGCCTCTATACACATTTGCAATCCCCCTGTTCTAGAACATGGGTGACGGGAAGGATCTAGAATCTCTGATCAAACTGGCTTTTCTTCCCACTCTATTCCTGTCATTTGCTCGGGCTAAACTATCCTCTGGTTTCAATCCTCTCCTCAAAATGTTCCTCAAACCTTCAGGGAGTCCCAGTGCCTTAGAAGTTACACCAAATTCCTTAGCTATCCCGTTAGATTCTCTAAAACAACTGTTCTCAATTAGGGGAGGGAAGGGAGTGGATTTTGCCTCCCCCTCCTCCCAGGGATATTTGATAACATCTGGAAATATTTTTATTTCGTTCATCTCTCACTCTCCTTTTCTTAACCACACATCCTAAGCTCTAGGAAGAAGAGAAGGCTTCTACGTTCTCACACGGGTCATTCTCTTGCAGAATTTCACGCTTCTGACTCGCTGCTTCTCTATTCTCTCTGCCAAACCCAGTACCACCAAACGCCCCGCCTCCACGAAACCCAGTGATACTGGTAGCACTTTCTCCTGGAGAATCTGGTTCAAAGAGCCACCCTGAGCAATGCTTGGCAAACATGAAGCCAACGGACTAAGTCGAAAAGGCAAGGTTTGCTTGGCTGGTGTACTGTTACCCTAAACAACCATGACTACTAAAGAACTGTGTCTGAGTGCTCTCCATTAAGCTGAGTGGGCACACTCTGGTGGCGGTGGACCCAGCTGCAAGGTGACCCGCCAGTCCTGAGGGCACGGCTCCCCCACGACCAAACACACATGGCCTTCTTAGGCAAAGCCGGCACCAGAGTGACACGCGTCCGGACGCCTAGAGCCCGCGAACCTGGACCTCGTCGTCCTTGCGGATGGGCATGGAGCGGACGTTGTACTTCTGCCGCAGCTCCTTGGAGAGCGGGGAAGACATGATCTTCCTGCGCACGTGCGAGGGGGCGTTGAAGTGGCGTTTGCGGTTTTTGCTGCGGTCCGAGGTCACGAAGGGGTTGAACTTCATGCTGGCCGTCTGCAAACAGAGGCGGGGGAAAGAGTGATGGATGCTCAGTCGGGTACCACGGCCCGCTCTCCATCCAGGACACTCCTCTCATCCCCGCGCCAAGTGCCCTGCGGGAAGAGAATGGGGCGAAGGAGGGGTCTGGCTGTGACACAGGTATGAGTTGGGAGCGCGTGCCTGACCAGAGGGGTCGTGGGAACAAGGCGGCAGCGGGGCCTCGAGGCTCACCGCCAGAGCAAGGTGTGGGCGGCTGGGGAAGAATGCATGCTTGGAGGTCACGCAGAGATACCTACGGAGATGGGCGGCCCCGCGGCACGCTGGGCGTAGATTCCAGTGGGGCGGAACGCTTCTCGCTTGGACACAACACCTGCCTCTCTACTCACCTTGCACCAGATAGGCTCAGACGATGCGCGCGCAAGACCGGAAGTGAGTCTTCCTTGCCGCGCAAGCGTAGAGAGGAAGCGGAGCCCCTGTCCCGTGAGAACGAGACTGAATGGCGCCCCCTACGACTTGGGGTGGGATCGCAATGCCTCCTTCTAAGGGAGCCATCCCAGGGCTGTGCCGCTTTCGGGGGTCAAGCCTGAAACCAGGAAGAGCTGGCACCGCCGGGGAGAAGGGGCATACTTCTGTAGGGCCTGCCATAGAGGCCTACTGGTGTTTTAAAAATCGGTACACCAGTAGTCTCTTTCTCCTTCCAAGCTTTCTTTGCCTGTGTTACCCTCTGCCGAGGGGATCTAGGCATGTGAAGGCTTCATGATGATCCAAATGCAGTCGGCTGACTTGCTTCTTTAGAATCAGCGAGAAGCTTGTTCAAATTGAAGATTTTTGTGCTCCATCACAGTCGTACGAAACCACGCAGTGGTAAGTCGGGGTTTTAAAGCAAGCACTCCCCTCCTCCCGCCCACCCAAAGATTTTAAGGTGCGACAGTATTTCAGGGGCGTTGAGAACCAACCACTTGGTCTTGCAAAAACTTTACCCCAGTGTCTTAGCCCTGTTGCGGAGAGCTGGGGTTGTAGAGGCCGACCTGGACCCAAGTGCCTTTTCATGTGGCTGGACCTCGGGGAGATGGCTCCTTGTTTCCGAGTCTGTTTTCTCATCTGTGAAGTGGGGATAATCTTATACGTGCCTCCCAGAAAAGTTATGAGGACCAAATGAGCTAATCCATTGGGAATGTTTATGTCTGGCGCATAGCTCTCAGTTACAGTAGGCTGTTATTCCTAATGAAAGCAGAGGCCTACGTGTGGGCTTCCTCCAGGCAGCCCAGAAGCCGGCCTCACATCCTTGAGTCCTCACATTCAGACTTTCACCATTAACTACTCGATGACGCAGACTGTAAAGCTTTCTGTGTTTGAAGGAAACACATTCAAGGCACCCTGGGGAAAAGCCAGCTGGGCCTCTGCCGTTCCAGCTCCTCTGGAGGTTGAGGGCAGCTGCCCTGCCTGGCTCACCCCCGCCCCGATCCCAGCCCCTCCCTCCAACCCGCCCCCGCCCCGATTCCAGCCGCTCCCACCCGCCCCCGCCCCTATTCCAGTCCCAACCTCTGGTCCTCCGCGTTCCCGCCTCGCCCCGCCCAGTAGTGTCCTAGCCCCGCCTCCCCTCCCTGGAAGGCCGCCCGGAGACGCGGGCGCCACCCTGCGGCTAGTCAGGCTCAGACACCGCGCACGCTTGGCAGCTGGGAATGAAAGGTTTTTCTGTTCCTAGATTTTACATAGTTCATATGTATTAAGCACCTACTTTATGGCACATGTCAGAAGCCTTTGTGGTGCTCAATTAACAGGCGGCCCGAAATTCAGAGAGAGGGATGTCTTGCCAGATTCGGGCAGGTCCCCTGCTTTCTCCGTTTTAGTGTCCCCGGGCATATGGTGATGCAATTGTTAAACACCAGCATTTACTCTTACTCACGATCAACCAGGACATCTGCCTTGATCCCTGAACCTGATGGGTCCTATTTTAGGTTTCATTCCAGAACCGTTGCAGTGCGTGTTGGAGACTTCTGGCCTTGATGGCCAACATCTGGCCTGTTTTTAGAAGCCAGGGCAGCAGGGTGAGCGGTGCCAAACTTGAGGCAATAGCAATTGAAACGCTACCCATTGTGTGTGCCCCAGACTCCAAGAGTCAGGAGGTTGGAGGGAGAAGCACAAGAAAGGAAGACTTTTACGTGAGGTGATGAAGTGTCAGCTAAGCTATCATGGTCATCATTTTGCGATACCAGCTCAACCTTAAACTCGTAAAGCTGTAGGTCCGTTATAGCTCAAAGGTGGGACCAAAAAAGAAAAAAGGATGTCACTCCCCACGGGCAAGGCAGGAATAGAAGCTGTTATGACTGACTGCTCATAGAAAGTCAGAGGGTTCTCCTCAAGCAGCCCTTACAGTGTTCATCAGACCCAAGGTCCCCTAGCCCCGCGCCCACCCATAAGTTCATTCAGTCTCTCACTGGCATAGCTTATTTGCCTACTCATTTATTCCAACATTCATCCACTTGTTCATTAACTTATCGGTAGGTGCTAGTAATTTAGCCCATAGCACGGGCCTCCATCAAGGAGCTCTGGTGAGGAGGAAGTTCTATCTAGTCCCTGATTACAAGGAGCCCAGAACCTCACTGGTGCGGGACAACCATGAGGACAGACCCTCACAGCCCTGGATAATCGAGGGATATTCATGATCAACCAGAGTGGGAGGCAATACTTTACACCGCTTCTCCCATGGCTCAGTAAAATTAAGACAGGTGCAATGACATCACCAGTTAAGATCACGAGAGCCTGAGTCTTTGTCACTCTAATGAGGACTTCTTGCCTCACATCGACTCTTGGAAACTGCACGGGAACTGCCCCAGAACCTAGTACAGTGATAGCGCAGAGGAAACGCCTGGGAAATATTTTTATGTCTCAGAGGCAGAAGGGGGTATGCTGGGGAAATATCTGAGCCCTGATTCTGACTGCCTGGGTTGGGATCTCCATCACTTCCTGGCTGTGTAGGTCTGGGTAAGATACTTAGCCCCTTAGAGGTCATTCACTTTCCTCATCTGAGAAATGAGAATAATGATACTAGTTACATCATTGGTTTGGTGTCAGGATTAAATGAACCCTTAGCACAAACCTTGGCTTTACAAAAAAGCACTTAATAAATGGTAGAAATTACTGTTTATTTAATGAATGGATAGCAATGGCTAATCTTATTTGGCTGAGCATTCAATGTCAGGCATTGTGCTAAGTTTTACAAATACTACCTGACTTAATCTGATAAACAGTCCTCTGAATTGGTCCTTTTTACAGGTGAGAAAACAGGTCCTGAATGAGATGGGAACAGAAAGTGAATGTGATTCACCATTACATCCTCAACATGCTTATTGTTATCTTGTAGCCAGTGCATGACGAGGTCCACAGTCAGTAACATAGGAAGAGGTCTATTGTGGAAAAGAGTAAACTACAAAATAATATTAACAGCACGATCCCCTTTTCTTTGTGGGAGGATATCACTAAAATGTTAACAATGATTATCTTGGTTAGTGGAATCAGGACTCCCTTTAATTTTTCCTTTTTTCCTTTTTGCTCTTCTGATTTTCCTCCACTGGGGCCATGAGCATGTCTTATTTGTGTAATTAAAACCATGTTTTCAGGGCCTTAAATTTTTAAGATTTCCAATATTCAATTTAGCTTCCTTTGCAGGCTGTTCAGAAAAGAAAACAAAAAACAAAGTACCTTCACTACTTTCAATTCCCTCCCTTTTTGGGGGGGGGAGTCAGGGGTCATTTTTCTCTTTTGACATGGACAAGATGATCTTGGGGGACTGAGGCAACCCATACCCCTGCGTCAAGCGGACAGGAGTTTGAATTCCAACTTTGCCACCTGCCAGCTATGGGACAGAGGAAAGTTACTAAATTTGTCTTCTCCTTTGTAGAAAGGAGGTAACATCCACCATGCAGGACTGCTGTGAGGATAGAGAAAGACAAGGCCTGAACAATCACTCCTTGCTGGCACGTGGAGAATGCCCACCCACGGGTAGCTATTTCTACAGGAGTTATGATAAAAATAACTTATTTCGGTCAGAATAAAGTGCATAGCTTCATCACTACATGACTGACCAAAGACAACTGCTGGGGAGGGAAAAAGGTCCTTAATGAACCAATTTCTTAGGAAGGGATTAGGACTTGAGAAAACGTGTATCTTTGTCCCTGGCAACAATCTAAAATGAATTTGTGACATACAGTAGTAAGAATCCATTGGAGCTGCCACTTCCAAGCCCCACTGCTACACGACACTTCTCCCCAAGCTTCACACCCCCTCTGATACCTGCCCACCCCAGGCACACGGGCTGTGGGACTTGAGCTTCTCTCTTGCCTGATGCACCTCTGTAACCTCGCCCCTCATGCAACTGCAAGCCCCCCCCCCCCCCCGCCTCGCCCCACGAGAAGCCATTCCTACCTGAGCCACCGCAGCCCCCAACCTCTCACCTCCCCTCTAGGAGGCTGCACTGTAATCCCTGAGAAATCCTCTTATGTGAAAACATAGTTGAGAGAATTGGTTTAGGAGAGAAATCATAAAAATGACACATACCTTAAATGTTTTATGTCTGCTTAAAAAACATTTGCCAATCTTTGGACCCTGAAGCGAGGTTTTTTCATTGAGAAACCTCCCGTCTGAGGTCACTTTCTTCGCATAAACCTTGTTCTTACATAAACCCACTTGAGAGAGTTCCAATTTTGGGTTCATGTGGAGAACTTAGACCCTTTCCATGCGAATGCAGAATCCTCAAAGACACCCCACCACCACCACCCCAACCCCTTCCCCCAAGTCTTTTCAGTAAGAGGTGTGGCTCATATTTAATTCCGGAGTATTTTGAGGAAGGGGTGGCTACTCACCTTTAGCAGGTCTTTGCAAAGTGTACAAGTTAGTTGTACTAGATTCATTTTTCATTTTTTCTAAATGTTTATTTTAGAGGGAGGGAGACAGAGCACAAGCAGAGGAGGGGCAGAAAGAGAGGGAGACACAGAATCCAAAGCAGGTTCCAGGCTCTGAGCTGTCAGCACAGGGCCCCACGTGGCCCCAAACTCATGAACTGCGAGATCATAACCTGAGACAAAGTCGGATGTGTAAGGGACTGAGCCACCCAGGCGCCCTGACTCTTTCATTTGTTAATCCTCTTTCACTGGTTAATCACATCATGACAGCATAAATCATGACAGCTGGCATACAAAGGTTTGGGCACACGTAATTGACCACCGGCAGGCAAATTACTCTGGACCTTCAGCTTTGAGTGTCACAATAACTCTAGTATCCGGATGTTAAAGAGAGAATCTGTGAAGTTTCTTGCAGCGTGGTTCTCTGCCATATTCATCCCTGATGAGTGATCCACGTTCATGCCATTCCAGGTGAGGGC